CGCCCCGCCCCGTCCTCTCCTCCGACGCACAAAGTAGTCCGTCATTCACTTTCTTATTATACTAATTTCGACCCTGAAACTAAACATTTATGCAGATCATATCTCATATGGATACTTCTATGTAATGTTCTTGTAATGTCATGAACCCAAACGAGATTTAGGCTGCAGGCGGAATAAGCTCCATGACGTCACGAATGGTCCAGAAGTTGCATCAGCCCTTTTGGGCGACGAGGCTGACTAACGCCCGTTGCGCCTTGCTTCTTATTTGCGCCTTTTCGCTGCGCCTCATGGCCGAGCGGGATTCAGACTATGCAGGGCAGGTGGTGGATTGTCGTAGTAGCTAACCATAAGTAACATGATTGCCGAATTTTGGTTCACTGTAGTTAAGCGCAGGCACGGAAACAAAGTAAATAATGTCTTCCATAATGTATACGACAAATACTACATATATATGTATATATATATATATATATATATATATATATATATATATATATATATATATATATATATACGTGCATGTGTGTTTGAAAATAGTTTATGCAATACAAATCGAAATTCTTTTGTTTCGACGAAATAATTTCAAGGTCTGTCCGTGACCTTTACATTCTTTAGGATTAGTAGATAATTTCACCGCGTAGAAGTAAATATACAGCAACGTGGTGATTCATGTTATTCAATGAACACATTTGAAACATTTTTTGTCCTAAATCCAATCAGGATTGCGAACGTGAGCCGCTGCATGTGGTGCGTTCGAAAGCGTACTTGCAGCGGACATGCACGCAGACACCTGATAACAACGAGCTTCGTTTGCAGTGTTATTTCCTGTAAACTGTTCGTAAACGCCAAGCAGGGGATTTTTGTCAGATGAGTTTGCTTCTTTCCACATTTCCTAATGGTGTTGTTGCTGTTTTCATTGTGTCCATATTCTCTACCTTTGGAAAATAATTCTTATTGCCATCATTGTTGTCATTATTACTACCATACCCATCACCAGTATCATATTTTCATACAGTGCCAGTATTTATTATCCTTATTGTTTTATTATTATTATCATTATCGTTATTATTATTACCATCATCATAATTACTGTTACTATTATCATCATTATTTATTATAATCATCATTGTTGTTTTATATCATTATCACCGTCATTATTATTATTACTTTTATCATTTTCATTATTATTATTAGCACTACTACTAGTAGTATCGTTATCAATATTGTTATTATTATTACTATTACTATTGTTTTATTATTATCATTATCATTATTATTATTACTACTACTACTGTTATCATCATTATTATTATCCTCATCCTCATCAACATTATCATCATTGTTATTATCATTATTATTATGATTATCATAATTATCATCATTGTTCTTGCTATTACTATTATTATTATTATTATTATTATAGTTGTTTTTATTATTATATTTATTATTATTATTATTGTTATTATTATTATTATCATTACTATTATTATTTTTTTTATTATCACCTATTATTATTATCGTTACCATTATCATCAGTGTTGATATTCTTATTATTGTTGCTGTTATTGTATTATTATTATTATTGTTGTTGTTGTTGTTATAATTATTGTTATCGTTAGTATCATCAATATTATTTTCATTGTTATTATTGCGATCGAAAGAAGTATTCTCATTTTATTCATTAACTGTTTTATATCCGAGTAGCAAGGGTTCCTGTTTCATCATGAACAAGATCCCACCAGCTGACGGAATTCATGTGTCAGCCACGGTACCTGCCAGACACAAAACACTCCCCGCATAACATTCTGGGTGCCTGCGCTATCTCACGTAGACCAAAAATGAGATGCATTATTCTCAACATTCCACCCATTATTTCAGCGCGGGAATTTATTGAGATTGGTGCCAACCTACTGTTTGGTCGGCGACATTAAGGTAATACAAATATTTGCTGTACTTTTTAATGCAGAGATATTTTTTTATTCACTTTTTTTTTCCAAATTACACGTCCAAATGTTTCAAGACGTCGATACACCTATTCTATAAACCCTGAAATCAATACATCAAACAACAGCATCTCGCAAACCATGAAACAGCCAGACACGATACTTTTAATCGTGACCGAAATATTTCCAATGGTTTACACACTTGTTGCTCTAAAATCATTTGATTAAAAGGCGTTTAGCATGTCTCTACCACGCTATCAAAGGCTTAACCCCCTTAACTGACCAGTGATTTCGTATATCCAAATACTCATAATAATTCTCCGGTGGTCACTGCATTATTAGTATATCATCTAGATGGTAAAAAACTTTTGTATCACTAATCATGTCAAAGACAAGACCAGAGTCTATGATAAAGTTCATATAATCAATAAGTGCAATGCATTTCAAGAGTCTATATGGAGACATTGATTACCTGACCATTTCCAAGGTCCTCTACGGGTTGGTTATGTTGTTGATCGAGGAGAAGCGCGAACATCCTCTCCTGAGATTGAGATTGC